ACTGCTAACCTGTCAAAGCACATCCTAATTAAAGTTTGTGTGCCACTGCTGCCTTGTGGTCACATCTTTTTCCTTACTCAGCCAAGAAATCACTTAAACACCCTACATACAGGTATGGTTTTATTTTTCACATTTAGATCCCTAGTCCATTTGGAGTTTATTCTTTTTTTTTTTTTTTTTTTTTTTTTTTTGAGACGAAGTTTCACTCTTGTTACCCAGGCTGGAGTGCAATGGTGCCATCTCGGCTCACCGCAACCTCCGCCTCCTGGGCTCAGGCAATTCTCCTGCCTCAGCCTCCTGAGTAGCTGGGATTACAGGCATGAGCCACCACGCCCAGCTAGTTTTTTGTATTTTTAGTAGAAACGGGGTTTCACCATGTTGACCAGGATGGTCTCGATCTCTCGACCTCGTGATCCACCCGCCTTCGCCTCCCAAAGTGCTGGGATTACAGGCTTGAACCACCGCGCCCGGCTGGAGTTTATTCTTATATATGCTGTGAAGTATAGATTTAACTTCATCTTTTTTTAGATGTTTAACCAGTTGTCTTAGACCTTCCATTACAAATGGCATTTTTTGCCCCATCAATCTGAAATACTCTTTTTTTTGAGACAGTCTTGCTCTTGTCGCCCAGGCTAGAGTGCAATGGCATGATCTCAGCTCACTGCAACCTCTGCCTTCCAGGTTCGAGAGATTCTCCTGCCTCAGTCTCCTGAGTAACTGGGATTACAGGCACCTGCCATCATGCTTGGCTAATTTTTTTGTATTTTTAGTAGAGACGGGGTTTCACCATGTTGACTAGGCTGGTTTCTAACTTTTGACCTCAAGTGATCTTCCCACCTCTGCCTCCCAAAGTGCTAGGATTACAGGTGTGAGCCACCACGCTCAGTAAAATACCAGATTTATGAACCAAATTTCTGCACGTTCTTGGGTAGATTTTTAGATATCTTATTAGTCTGTTTCTGCTTCATGTGCTAGTACCACATAATTTTAACTATGGAGGCTTTATGGTATGTTTTATTTTATATAAAATAAAAGTCAAACTCTTGACCTTCGTCTTTTTTTTTTTTTTTTTTTTTTTTTTAAAGTAGAGATGGGGTTTCACCATGTTGGCCAGGATAGTCCTGATCTTCTGACCTTGTGATCCGCCCCCCCTGGCCTCCTAAATTGCTGGGATTACAGGTGTGAGCCACTGCGCCTGGCCAGTATGTTTTATTTTTATTTTAAAGTAATTCTTTGCCTTGTGTTTAAACTGTCTATAGTATGTTTTAATATCTGTTGCTCATTGTTGGTTTTATTTTCTTTCTCTCTCTCTGTTTCTTTCAAGACGGAGTTTCCTTCTGTCACCATGTTTGAGTACAATAATCTTGGCTCACTGCAACCTCTGCCTCCTGGGTTCAAGCAGTTCTTCTGCCTCAGTCTCTCGAGTAGCTGGGATTACAGGCACACGCCACCACACCCACCTAATTTTTGTATTTTTAGTAGAGATGGGGTTTCACCATGTTGGCCAGGATGGTCTTAATCTCCTGACCTCGTGATCTACCCGCCTCAGCCTCCCAAAGTGATGGGATTACAGACCTGAGCCACCGTGCCCAGCCTCATTTTGTTTTCTTGATTATTAGCAGATGTTTGTGCTTCCACATAAACTTTTAGTATCAATGTATGTAACTCCAGAAAAATATTCTGGTATTTTCATTGGGATTATTGGGATTTGTTGGGATTATTCTGAATAAACTTGGGGAGAATGGTATCAGTGCTATTTAACAACGAGGTCCTGGCCCATGTGGTAAGATCAGAAAAATAACAAATAGAAATACCTATTTTTCGCCAGGTGCAGTGGCTCACGCCTGTAATCCCAGCACTTTGGGAGGCCCAGGTGGGTGGATCACTTGAGGTCACAAATTCAAGAACAGCCTGGCCAATAGGGTAAAACCCCATCTTTACTAACAATACAAAAATTAGCTAGGTGTGGTGGTATGCGCCTATATTCCCAGCTCCTCGGGAGGCTGAGGCAGAAGAATTGCTTAAACCCAGGAGCAGAGGTTGCAGTGGGCTGAGTTGTCACCACTGCACCCCAGCCTGGGTGACAGAGTGAGACTCCATCTCAGAAAAAAAAAAAAAAAAGAATTTTTAAATTTTATTTTTTTTCATACACTGGGTGTCTTGCTGTATTGCCCAGGCTGGTCTCAAACTCCTGGCCTCAAATGGTCCTCCCACCTTAGGCTCCAAGAGTGCTGGAATTACAGGCATGAGCCACCGTGCCCAGCCAGAAATACGTATTTGATGAAGAGAGAAAAAAAAAAATCAAGATTTATAGAAAGTATTGTTATATTGAAAATGTGGCCGGGCACAGTGGCTCATGCCTATAATTCCAGCACTTGTGGAGGCTGAGACGGGTGAATCACAAGGTCAGTAGTTCAAGACCAGCCTGGCCAACGTGGTGAAACCCCGTCTCTATAAATATAAGGTCCAGCCCTATAGGGTTCTGTGAGCCCCTCCCTGTTGGTGCTGAGACAAGAAACTGTAGAAATAAAAGACACGAAGATAGAGAAAAGAAGAGTTTGGGCTCAGGGGTCCACTGCTAACCAAAGTTCACAGACCTGCAGTGGCCCCGAGTGCCTGTACTCTTTTATTGAGTACAAAGCAGGGAGCAGGGAAATAGGGTGAGGTAATGGTGGTCAGTGATAGGATCAGGTAAATCACGTGTCTTGAAGATACAGGGCCCAAGACTTTAAAGTAGCCAAGGTGAGGAAAAAGCTAATGCATCAGTACTCTTCGCATATTTGTTAGAAATATCAAGGACACTAAGATTATGCTACTATTGGCCGGGCGCGGTGGCTCAAGCCTGTAATCCCAGCACTTTGGGAGGCCGAGGCGGGTGGATCACGAGGTCAAGAGATTGAGACCATCCTGGTCAACATGGTGAAACCCCGTCTCTACTAAAAATACTAAAAATTAGCTGGGCATGGTGGCGTGTGCCTGTAATCCCAGCTACTCAGGAGGCTGAGGTAGGAGAATTGCCTGAACCCAGGAGGCGGAGGTTGCGGTGAGCTGAGATCGCGCCATTGCACTCCAGCCTGGGTAACAAGAGCGAAACTCCGTCTAAAAAAAAAATTATTAATTTTTATCTTTTAAGAAAAAGAGAAACCAGGTGCAGAAGCAGGATGTGAGACTAGACATGGAACGTGACCACTGAAGCACAGCATCACACAGAGACAGTTAAGCCTGCAGATGTCTGTGGGCTTCCCTGACAGCTGTCAGGCCTTGCCACAAGAACTTGGAGAAGCGGAGTTTTCTCCTAACTCCCCCCAGGAAGGAGATGTCTCGGTCACTTTGGAGATCTCCTTCCCTAACTGGCTAAACAGCAGGCACTTTCACAGCACTGACGCTGCCACACAGCCGAGGCGCCCTCCAGCAGCCCTTATGTGGGCGTGACAGAGGGCTTAGAGCATCTTTCCTTAGGATTACTTTGTTTACAGTGTCACCTCAGTTGCATGCTTCATAAACCAATAGTCATTGGTAAAATTAAAGATTATGTTGAGTATATATCTTTATGATTAGAAGTAACTAAAAATTATATATGGTTATATAAAGGAATAACTATATGCCTACATTTCTAATTCTTTTCTAAATCAATATTTATATGGGAACAGGCTGAGGCTTCAGACCCCTGCCATGGCCCTTGCAGGGTTTCCCCCCTACAGTAAAAAAATACAAAAAATTAGCTGCACATAGTGGCTGGCACCTGCAATCCCAGCTACTCGTGAGATCGAGGCGGGAGAATCGCTTGAACCTGGGAGACAGGTTGCTGTGAGCTGAGCTTGCGCTACTGCACTCCAGCCTGGTAGAAAGATGAGACTCCATTTCAAAAAAAAAAAAGAAAAGAAACGGAAAAGAAAAAAGAAAACGCAATGGAATCAGTAGGTTCTGGAAAATAGCGAACAAAGAAATAAAGGCCTATGAAAGCCTGAATGAATGGAAGAAATAGACCATGCCATTCACTGGCATTCATTCACATTTATCAATGCGGAAGAATCATGAAAAGGCTCTAGGAACATGAGGAGAGGCATACAGAAAAGCTTTATACACACACACACACAATCACGACGTCAGGAGATGGAGACCAGCCTGACCAATATGGTGAAACCCCTGTCTCTAAGAAAAATACAAAATTTTAGCCGGGCATGATGGCACACACCTGTAATATACCCAGCTATTGAGGAGGCTGCAGCAGGACAATCGCTTCAAGCAGGGAGGCGGAGGTTGTAATGAGCCGAGATCTCGCCACTGCACTCCTGCCTGGGCGACAAAGGGAGACTCCGTCTGAAAAAAACAAAAAAAAAAACAAAAACAAAAACAAAAACAAAAACAAAAAACGAGCTAGGCATGGTGGCGCATGCCTGTAATCCCAGCTACTGGGGAGGGTAAGGCAGGAAAATGGCTTGAACCCGGGAGGTGGAGTTTGCGGTGAGCCGAGATCGTGCCACTGCACTCCAGCCTGGGCAACAAGAGCTAAACTCCTTCTCCAAAAGAAGAAGAAAAAAAAGAAAACCCCCCAAGAGATTGCTATTTTGCCCTGGCTGGTGTCGAACTCTTGGACTCAAGCTATCCACCTGCCTTAGCTTACCAAAGTGCTGAAATTACAAGCGTGAGCCACTGCGCCCTCCGGGGAAAAGCGTTGGAAGCGCATTCCCTGGCGTGCGTCCCATCCTCCATCTCGGCCCTTCAGCCCGACCGGCCACCTGTACAGCGGGTAGGCCGGGTCACCTCTAAACCGCCCCGAGTACTCGCCGACCCCTCGCCCACAGTTCCGTTCAGAGGCCAGGGTCTAACGTCACCTTTTTCTCCAGACCTGTTTCTACATCCCCCTCCCTGAGCCAAACACAGGCCCCGTCCGCACCCATCAAGAGGAAAAGGAGAACGTCTGTTCTAGCGGGTCTTACACGGCTGAAGTTCCAGCCCCCGCGCCCCGCCCGGCACGAAGCTCGGAGCGGAAGTGACGTCAGCGCGCAGCCGCCATCTTTTTTGGCGCTGGCTCTGCATGGTCTCTGCTGTTTCTCCTTAATAGTGGTCTCTGCTGTGGTGAGTTCCACCTGTTTGGGGGTCCAGGCGATAGCAGGGGGGCGGCAACGGAAGGATTCGGCGCGATTGCCCAGGAGCTTCTCGGATCCGGCTCGTTTCACTGGTTTCTCCAGGGGCTGTCGGTCTTCCCAGCGCAGCCAGTTCGGAGAGGCCGCATGCTCGGTCGGTCCCCTTCAGGAGCCTGGTCGGGAAGTGTGTTTGTCCCGCCTCCGCGGGGTGTTTTCTGTAATGCGTCCATCCGCTGTGCTCCCTTCTTCAAAACCCTAGAAAGCAACCTTTTTTTTTTCCCCTTCCGAAAGGAAAAGGATTTTTTGCTGTTCCCCGCGTCCTCCGGCCTCAGGAACCTGGAGATTCCGGCGTATTCCTGGTGAGCACTGGCAGAAAACTGGTTTCAAGAGGGCTCTGACTTCCATTTTTTTGCCAAGAAATGTCTCATCTGATAATCTGGCGTTGTCTTGATGTCGTTTACAAAATTTTTGACACATTACATTCGAATAGAAAAAACATAGTTTTTCAGGTTGTACCTATTTCTGTATGTAAATATGAACACGTGTAGACTGTAAGCCTTTATTTTTTAATTTTTATTTTCTTGGACCTTATTTTTTTTCCAGTTTTTACCAGCTATAAGCCTTTCCACTAAAAGGCAGGCTGGGCACGGTGGCTCACGCCTGTAATCCCAGTACTTTGGGAGGCCGAGACAGGTGGTTCACCTTAGGTCAGGAGTTCAAGACCAACCTGACCAAGGCGGTGAAACACTGTCTCTACTAAAATACAAAAATTTGCTGGTCATGGTGGCGCGCGCCTATAGTACCAGCTACTCGGGAGGCTGAGGCAGGAGAATTGCTTGAACCCGGGAGGCGGAGGTTGCAGTAAGCCGTGACTGCGCCACTGCACTCAAGCCTGATGACAGAGCGAGACTGTCAAAAAAAGAAAAAGAAAAGCAGGGCGTGATGGTGGGCCCCTGTAATCCCAGCTGTTGGAGATTTAAAAAAAAAAAATGCTGGATGCTGTAAAGTGAAACGGGCACTCAGGCAAAGTTTTCTCAGCAAGGCAATTTACTTCTATAGAAGGGCACATCTCCCGGATGGAGCAGTGGTGTGAGCACACCTATAAGGAAGGCAAAGGCGTTTCTCTCTCTCTCTTTTTTTGTTTTTTTGTTTTTTTTTTGTTTTTGAGACGGAGGTTCGCTCCTGTTGCCAGGGCTGAGTGCAGTGGCAATCTCGGCTGGCCACAATCTCCGCCTCCCGGGTTCAAGCTGTTCTGTTGCCTTAGCCTTCCTAGTAGCTGGGATTACAGGTGCCACCAACACGCCCAGCTAATTTTGTATTTTTAGTAGAGATGGGTTTCTCTTTGTTGATCAGGCTGGTCTCAAACTCCAGTGATCCTCCTGTCTCTGCCTCCCAAAGTGCTGGGATTACAGGCGTGAGCCACCACGTCCAGCCAGGGGTTATTCTCTATAATGCAGGGTCCGTACATCTGTGTCATTCCTCCATGAGTTGGGTTCCAACCGCAGAGTGTAAACTGACCCTATTGGCTGTTTGTGAATATTTTCCCCAAATAAGGAAGGGAAGGGAGATGTTTGAGTCACTGATGTGCGGTTTTGAAGGGGAAGGAGAATGTGAGTCACAGTGGTGGGACGTGTGGTTTCGAAGGGTGAAATAGGTGCAGAGTGGGCAGCCAAGGGAACATGTGAGATATTGATTAGAGCTGACAGGAAGGTTTTTTACAGTAACTGGAGGCAAGGAGGCATGGAGAACAGGAAAGTTGAGTTTCAGAACAAAGAACAGGGAAGTTAACTGGCAGAACTTTTCTTTTTTATTTTTTTCTTTTCTTTCTTTCTTTTTTTTTTTTTTTTTTTTTTTTTTTGAGATGGAGATTCGCACTGTCACCTGGGCTGGAATGCAGTGGCACAATCTTGGCTCACTACAACCTCCACGGTTCGGGTTCAAGTGATTCTCCTGCCTCAGCCTCCTGAGTAGCTGGGATTACAGGTGCTCAGCACCAAGCCCAGCTAATATTTTGCATTTTTAGTAGAGACGGTGTTTCACCATGTTGTCCAGGCTGGTCTCGAACTCCTGACCTAGTGATTCACCTGCCTCAGCCTCCCAAAGTGCTGGGATTACAGGCGTGAGCCACCGCGCTCCGCCTGGCTGAACTTTTGAAGAGAAATTCAGAGAACTGGATTGTATCTTACACCGCTACTTTGGAGGCTGAGGCAGGAGAATCTCTTCAACTGGGGAGGCAGATGTTACAGTGAGCCCAGATCCCACCACTGCACTCCAGCCTGGGCGACAAGAGCGAAACTCTGTCTCAAAAAAAGAAAAGAAAGAAAAAAAGGCAATAATACTCAGCTATTCTCTTCATCTGAAGTTCCTAGGTCTGTACTTCCTCACAGAGCTTCAAAATGGGCTTTCAGGAAGAAAGGATGGAGACTTTATTACACTGATAGTAGAATTATTTCTTATTATCAGAATATTATTCTAGTATCAATGTAATAAAGAATTTATTATTAACAGCATGTTTGGACTAAATATTTACTCTTTTTTTTTTGAAAATTTTGATTCTAAGGAAAACTTGAACATTTAACACACCCAGTCTAGTAGATTTATTTATTGTTAGCATTATGCTTTTAAAACTTTCTACTCACATGAATACATTTTAAGGTGCACAATTTAAGTGTAAATTGATAATAAATTGCACACATGATACTTGACCTTTAAATACTTGATAATACATGTCCTAAAAAAAAGGTATTGTTGTCAGGCCAGGCGCGGTGGCTCAAGCCTGTAATCCCAGCACTTTGGGAGGCCCAGGCGGGTGGATCACGAGGTCAAGAGATCGAGACCATCCTGGTCAACATGGTGAAACCCCGTCTCTACTAAAAATACAAAAAATTAGCTGGGCATGGTGGTGCATGCCTGTAATCCCAGCTACTCAGGAGGCTGAGGCAGGAGAATTGCCTGAACCCAGGGGGCGGAGGTTGCGGTGAGCCGAGATCGCACCATTGCACTCCAGGCTGGGTAACAAGAGCGAAACTGACTCCAAAAAAAAAAAAAAAGGTATTGTCATACTAAAACCAAGGTGGCCCACACCTGGCTCTCAGCACTTTGGGAGGCTGAGGCCAGCAAGTCACAAGGTCAGGAGTTCGAGACCAGTCTGGCTAATATGGTGAAACTCCGTCTCTACTAAGATACAAAAAGCATTATCGGAGCGTGGTGGCACACGCCGTTAAACCCAGGTACTCGGAAAGCTGAGGCAGGTGAATTGCTTGAACCTGGGAGGTGGAGGTTAGAGTGAGTTGAGATTGTGCCACTGTATTCCAGCCTGGGTGACAGAGCAAGACTCTAGCTCAAAGAAAAGAAAAGATTGTTCTTTTCCCATTGTATGCTTTTGATGCCTTTGTTGAAAATGAGCTGTCTGTAAATGTGTAGATTTAAATTTAAGTTCTCTGTTCTCTTCCATTGATCTATGTGTTTATGTCAGTACCATGCTGATTTGGTTATGATAGGTTTGTAGTATATTTTAAAGTTAGGCAGTGTGATGCTTCCAGCTTTTTCCTTTTTGGTCAATATTTCTTTGGCTGTTTGAGGTCTCTTGTGGTTGTATATGCATTTTAGGATTTTTTTTGTCTCTATTTTTGTGATGAATGTCATTGATATTTTGATAAGGGTTGCTCTTAATTGTAAATTGCTTTGTGTAGTATTGTCATTTTAACAATATTCTCCTAATCCGTGAGCATGGAATGTCTTCCCATTTTTTTTCTTCCCATTTTTCTCCACAGTTTGTTTTATCGGTGTTTTATAGTTTTCTTGTATGGCTCCTTCACACTTTTGGTTACTTTTTATCTTTTTCAGAGGTGAGTGGTACAATTGTAGTACAATGGTACTGTGGTAGTACAGTGGTACAGTAGTACAATGGTAGTACAGTGCTACAGTTGTAGCTCATGCAGCAGCCTTGAACTCCTGGACTCAAGGGATCCTCCTGCCTCAGCCTATTGAGTAGCTGGGACTAATAGCTGTGTGCCATCATGCCTGGCTAATTTTCTTTCTTTCTTTTTTTTTTATTTTAAATAGAGACGGGGCCTTGCCATGTTCCCCAGGCTGATCTTGAACTGCTGGGCTCAAACAATCCTCCCACCTCAGCCTCCCAAAGTTCTGGGATTACAGTTGTGAGTCATGATACCTGGTGCTGGCATTTTATAGTCTTTGCAGCTATTGTAAATGGGATTAGTTCCTTGATTTCTTTTTCAGATCGTTCACCATTGGTGTATATAAATGCTACTGATTTTTGTATGTTGATTTTGTGTCCTTCACCTTTACTGAATTTGTTTATCAGTTCTATCAGGTTTTTAGTGGAGTCTTTAGGTTTTTCTAAATGTCAGATTATGTCAGCTGAGCATAGTGGCTCAGGAGAGCCACTATGGAGACCACTTTAGGAGACCAAGGCAAGAGGATCACTTGAGATCAGGAGTTCATGGCCAGCCTGGGCAACATGGTGAGGACCTTCCCCCACCCCAACCTCTAAAAAAATTAGCACTGTCACATGCGCCTGTGGTTCTGGCTCCTTGGGCGGCTGAGGCAGGAGTATCACTTGAGCCCAGGAGTTCAAGATCAGCCTGGGCAACATGGCATGGCCCCATCTTGCAGTGAGCTATGATCACAACTGCACTCCTGCCTGGGCAACAGAGGGAGTCCCTTTTTCTAAGGAGAAAAGGGTCATGTCATCGGCACACAAGGCTAATTTCACTTATTTTTTAGTTGGGATGCCCTCTATTTGTTTCTCTTGCCTAATTGTTCTGGCCAGAACTTCTGGTATTGGGTTGAATAAAAGTGTTAAAAGTGGACATCCTTGTTCCATTCAAGATCTCAGAGGAAAGACATTCAATTTTTCCCTATTCAGTATGATGTTGGATGTGGGTTTGTCATATATGGCCTTTATTATTTTGAGGTATATTCCTTTTATACACAGTTTGTTGAGGACTTTTGTCAAAAAGGGATATTGAATTTTATTGAATGCTTTTCAGCGTCTATGGAAATCTTACATAGTTTTTGTTCTTGGTTCTGTTAATTTGGTATATCACATTTATTGATTTGCATATGTTGAACCATCTTTGTATTCCTAGGATGAATTTCACTTAATTGTGGTGAGTGATTTTCTTAATGTGTTGAATTTGGTTTGCTGGTATTTTGGTGAGAATTTTTACAGGTATGTTCATTAGTGATATTGGCCGGTAGTTTTGTTGTTATGCTCTTGTCTGGTTTTCATATGAGAATAATGCTCACCCTGTAGATTAAGTTTGGAAATATTCTCTCCTCTTCAGTTTTTTTTTTTTTTTTTTGGAGTTCAAGTAGTATTGGTATTCATTTTCTCTGGTTTTTTGTTTTTGTTTTTTTGTAAATTTAGCAGTGAAGGCATCAGGTCCTGGGCTTTTCTTTGATGGGAAACATTTTGTTATGACTTCAATCTTGTTATTGGTGTGTTGATGTTTCCTATTTCTTCATGGTTCAATCTTGGTAGGTCATATTTGCCCAAGAATTTGTCCATTTCTTTTAGACTTTCCAATTCGTAGGCATATAGTTTTTCATAATAGTTTCTAATGATTCATTGTATTTCTGTGGTTTCTGTTATGTTTCCTTTTTTGTTTTTTATTGAGTCATTTTTTTTTTCCCCTTAGTCTAGCGGAAGGGTGATTTCTTTTATCTTTTCAAGTAATAAATTTTATGTTTTATTGATCTTCTGTATTGTTGGTTGGTTGGTTGGTTTGGTTTGGTGATGAAGTCTCACTCTTATCTCCCAGGCTGGAGCACAGTGGTAAGATCTCGGCTCACTGCAACCTCTTTCTCCACGGTTCAAGCAATTCTCTTGCCTTAATCTTCCAAGTAGCTGGGATTACAAATTTTTGTATTTTTAGTAGAGACGAGGTTTTATCGTGTTGGCTAGGCTTATCTTGAATTTATGACCTCAGGTGATCTGCCCGCCTCAGCCTCCCAAAGTGCTGGGATTGCAGGTGTGAGCCACCACGCCTGACTGTAATTTTTTTTTTTTTTTTTTTTTTAAGAGACAGAGTCGGTCAGGCGCAGTGGCTCAAGCCTGTAATCCCAGCACTTTGGGAGGCTGAGGCGGGTGGATCATGAGGTCGAGAGATCGAGAACATCCTGGTCAACATGGTGATACCCCGTCTCTACTAAAAATACAAAAAATTAGCTGGGCACGGTGGTGCGTGCCTGTAATCCCAGCTACTCAGGAGGCTGAGGCAGGAGAATTGCCTGAACCCAGGAGGCAGAGGTTGCGGTGAGCCGAGATCGCGCCATTGCACTCCAGCCTGGGTAACAAGAGCGAAACTCCGTCTCAAAAAAAAAAAAAAAAAAAGAGAGACAGAGTCTCCCTGTGTTGCCAGGCTGGTCTCAAATTTCTGGGTGCAAGCAATTTTCTCGCTTTGGCCTCCCAAAATGTTGGCATTATAGGCATGAGCCACCACTTTCAGCCTATGAATCAAGGTTCCTCTTGTTACTAGTTCCTAGTTTTATTCCCTTGTTGTCAGAAAAGATACTTGATATGATTTCTACATTTTGGAATTTATTGAGACTTGTTTTTGGCTTAAGAAGTATATGGTCTATTCTGGAGAATATTCTATATGCTGAGGAAAGGAATGTATCTTCTGTAGCAGTTGGATGAAATGTTCTGTGTCAGTTAGGACTTTTTGGTTTAGTGTATGGCTTAATGTCTGTGTTTCTTTGTTTTCTATCTGGATAATCTGTCCATTACCGAGAGTGGGGTGTTGAAATCCCCTACTGTTACTGTATCTCCCTTTAGATTTATTAATGTTTGCTTTATATACTTGGGGGCTCCAGTGTTGGATGCATAAATATTGACAGTTATTACATCCTCTTGCTGAATTGACCCCTTTATCATTATGTAGTGACCTTTTTTTTTTTAATCTCTTTTTACAGTCTTTGACTTGCAGTCTATTTTATCTCATTAGTATACCTACTCCTCTTTTTTTGTTTCCACTTGTGTGGAATGTTTTTTCTCATTTCTTTTTTTTTTTTTTTTTTTTTTTTTTTTTTTTTGAGACAGAGTTTCACTCTTGTTACCCAGGCTGGAGTGCAATGGCGCGATCTCGGCTCATCGCAACCTCCGCCTCCCGGGTTCAGGCAATTCTCCTGCCTCAGCCTCCTGAGTAGCTGGGATTACAGGCACGCGCCACCATGCCCAGCTAATTTTTTTGTATTTTTAGTAGAGACGGGGTTTCACCAAGTTGACCAGGATGGTCTCGATCTCTTGACCTTGTGATCCACCCGCCTCGGCCTCCCAAAGTGCTGGGATTACAGGCTTGAGCCACCGCGCCCGGCTGTTTTTTCTCATTTCTTTACTTTCAGTTTATTTGTGGGTTTCCTATAGGTATATAGTTGGGTGTTGTTTCTTTTTCCATTCAGTCATTCTGTGCTTTTTAATTGGAGAATTGAGTTAATTTACACTCAGTGTTACTATTAATAAATAAGGGTGTACTAGGGCTATTTTGTTGCCTGTTTTCTGATTTCTAACTCCTGTCTGTCTTTGTTGTTAAGTGACAAAGTAGTATGGGGCGGGGTTGGGGGCAGGGTGGCAGTGTTTTTTGTTTGTTTTCTTTGAGACAGGTCTCAGGCTGGAGTGTAGTGGCATGATTACAGCTTACTGCAACCTTGGATTCCTGGGTTCAAGTGATCCTCCCACTTCAGTCTCCCAAGGAACTGGGATTACAGGCATGTGCCACCATGCCCACTTAATTTTTTAAAATTGTTTATGCAGATGAGGTTTCCCTGTGTTGTCCTAGCTAGTCTTGAATTCCTAGCCTCAAGTCCTCCTCCTGACCTGGCCTTCTGAGGTAGGGAGTACAGGCTTAGCAGCCCTCTGGTAGTATGTTTTACTTTGTTCCACTTTACTTTTGTCACCTCTATTATTTTTTGGTATTGTGGTTACTGTGAGGCTTACAAAAAACATCTTTTTTTTTTTTTTTTTTTTTTTGAGGCGGAGTTTCGCTCTTGTTACCCAGGCTGGAGTGCAATGGTGTGATCTCGGCTCACCGCAACCTCCGCCTCCTGGGTTCAGGCAATTCTCCTGTCTCAGCCTCCTGAGTAGCTGGGATTACAGGCACGCGCCACCATGCCCAGCTAACTTTTTGTATTTTTAGTAGAGACGAGGTTTCACCTTGCTGACCAGGATGGTCTTGATCTCTTGACCTCGTGATCCACCCCCCTCGGCCTCCCAAAGTGCTGGGATTACAGGCTTGAGCCACCGTGCCCGGCCAAAACATCTTATAAATATAACAAGTTATGTTAAAAAGATGACAGCTCAGTCACACAAAAAGAATAGAAATAAACAAAAACTAAAAAAACAAACATACCCCAAAATTCTGCACTTTAACTCCATGCTCCCACAGCTTGACTTTTTGTTGTCTTCATTTACATATTTTTATGTAAATATACCAGTATATTTTTATGCAGTATACCAGGTTGCCTTACCTATTCATGTTTTTGATGGGTTTTTCTTTTAAGCTTTATACTAGAATTATGAGTGGGTTAAACACCACAATTACAGTATGGTAATATTCTGAGGTTCCTTTGTGCTTAATTGCATCTGTGGGAATGAGTATCGCCTTTCTCCACCTAGAGTCGTAAGCTTCCCTGAGGCGATCTTGGCATGAAGGAAGAGAGAGCATTGAGGCGCATTCCACCATCAGCTTCAGAGGATGGCAGCCATTGATTTGCCCTGCGGTAAGTCCTTGTTAATGCTTTTTTTCAGAGATTCTGCTTTAGGTTGCCCTCCACACCATAAGAGGGCAGTGAACTGGGCCTGAATAGTCGCCGCTGGTTCTTTTTTCTTTTTTTTTGAAAGAGAGTTTCACACTTGTTGCCCAGGCTAGAGTGCAGTGGCGCTGTCTCAGGTCACAGTCACCTCTGCCTTCTGGGTTCAAGTACTTCTCCTGCCTCAGCCTCCCGAGTAGCTGGGATTACAGGCATATATCACTTTTACTACACCTGGATGATTTTGTATTTTTAGTAGAGATGTGGTTTCTCCATGTTGGTCAGGCTGTCTCAAACTCCTGACCTCAGGTGATCTGCCTGCCTCAACTTCCCAAAGTGCTGGGATTACAGACGTGAGCCATCACACCTGGCCTCCTCTGGTTCTTGGTTCTTACAGGAGTAACTGAAGCGAGAAACAGAATGTTGTTTTGTTTTATTTTTATTTATTTATTTATTTTGAGACAGACTCTTGCTTTGTCACCCAGGCTGAGTGCAGTCATACAATACCTCTGCCTCACAGGTTCAAGTGATTCTCTTACCTCAGTCTCCCATGTAGCTGAAACCAAAGCACATGCCTCCAGGCCTAGCTTCTTTGCTTATTTATTAATTTAGAGATGGAGTCTCGCTCTGTCACCCAGGCTGGAGGGTAGTGGCATGATCTTGGCTCATTGCAACCTCCTCTTTCCTGGTTTAAGCAAGTCTTTGCCTCAGCCTCCTGTAATTATTGTTTTATTTATTTATTTATTTATTTTTAGTAGAAACAGGGTTTCACCATGTTGGCCAGGCTGGTCTCAGATTCCTGACCTCAAGTGATTTGCCTGTCTTGGCCTCCCAAAGTGCTGGGATTACAAGCATGAGTTATTGTCCCCAGCCAGATTGCTGTTTTAGAATTCAGCCCTGGTTTGTATGCCTTAGGAAATGCGATATAAGCTTCATGAATTTTACTAGTATGGACAGATAGTCACATTTTTCAGGGTGTAAGTTTCCTCGTAAAATGAAACTATTACCATTTACCCAACAGGCAGCTCGGCCCACATCTGCTTTTCTGAGTCTAGGTGACAAGGACTACTATGGCATTTCATGGGCGTGTTGTCTGTCTGCAGTTTTCTCGAGTGTGCGGGAGTATATGGGAATTTCAAACTGGGATAGAATGACTTCTAGGCATGTGAATGTGAGAAGTACAGGTAGCTCTGGCTTCTCATGCCTTCTTACTTTTCCACTAGGGTTTTTTTCCAGGGAACCAATCTGCTCTTTTGAAGAAAAGACAAAGGTAGAAAGGACAGTCGTGGACTACCTGGCAAATGGTTATCAGGTAAAGTGAAAATGTACTGTTGTACAAAATGTCATACTTACATACAGTAGGTGGACACATTTCCTTCTAGACAGACTTATCTCCGGAGTTCTCTTAGAGCAAATGAAGCCTTACTGAAGGACGAGTCCCCAGATGAATTTCCTATAGATAAAATGTTAACTTGAAAATCACCCCATGATCTCAGTAGTAACTAATTAAGCTTGACCTTCATGGTGCCAAGTGCATCTTTCTTTGATTGCTGGGTGGTGTGACAGATGATAAGGCAGATGAAAGTGTCCTTTTATCAAATAATTTATTCACGCATCAGAATATATCAGATATCGCAGTGTGCTGAGAAGTGTGCTGCATAGTGACAAATGGGACAGGAAGAGCTTCTAGCCTGGTTGTGGTTGTGCTAAGATAAAGTGTAAGCTGTGGGCAGTGGCTCATGCCTGTAATTCCAGCTACTCAGGAGGCAGAGGTCAGAGGAGCACTTCAGCCCAGGAGATTGAAGCTGCAGTCACCAGCAGTTGTTCCTGGGTGACACAGTGGGACCTGTCTTTATATATAAATTAATGAACAGATTAGATGGTTGGATAGATAGACGAATAGATGCTAGATAAAAATTATGTTGGCTGGGCACGGTGGCTCACGCCTGTAATCCTAGCACTTTGGGAGGCCAAGGGGGGTGGATCATCTGAAATCAGGAGTTAAAGACCAGCCTGGCCATCATGGTGAAACCCCATCTTTTTAACAAAAAAAAAAAAAAAGAAAAAGAAGAAGAAAGAAAGAAAAAAAATTACGTTAAGGAAGTATCGTAATTAAAAAAAAACTTTTAATTTTTTTTTTTTTTTTTTTTTTGAGACGGAGTTTCGCGCTTGTTACCCAGGCTGGAGGGCAATGGCGTGATCTCGGCTCACCGCAACCTCCGCCTCCTGGGCTCAGGCAATTCTCCTGCCTCAGCCTCCTGAGTAGCTGGGATTGCAGGCACGCGCCACCATGCCCAGCTAGTTTTTCGTATTTTTAGTAGAGACGGGGTTTCACCATGTTGACCAGGATGGTCTCGATCTCTCGACCTCGTGATCCACCTGCCTTGGCCTCCCAAAGTGCTGGGATTACAGGCTTGAGCCACCGCACCCGGCCCAAACTTTTAAATTTTAAAATAAAAATGTTTAAAAATAAATCAGGAAGATCATTTTTATTTATTTATTTATTTATTTATTTATTTATTTTTAAAGATGGGGTTTCACCATAATGGCCAGGCTGGTCTTGAACTCCTGACCTCAGGTGATCCACCCACCTCGGCCTCCCAAAGTGCTAGGATTATAGGCGTGAGCCACTGCACCCAGCCCAGGAAAATTATTTTTAAAAAAAATTTTAAAGTGCTGTTCAAGGCATATGCCTGTAGGAGGTCACCTTTGAGTGTTTAGATGCAACAGCTCCTGAGACATTAAACCCTGGACTAGATGTTGGGAAATCTCAGAATCACATATAAGCGAGGATAAGGTTCCCCTTCCTCATTCCACCAATGAACATTGGTGGAAGTGTTCATTGACTCAAACCAGGATATGTGTGATGACTTAGGATTCAGTGACCTTTGATGATGTTGCTGTGGAGTTCACCCCAGAGGAGTGGGCTTTACTGGACACAACTCAGAAATACCTCTACAGAGATGTGATGCTGGAGAACTACAAGAACCTGGCCTCTGTGGGTAAGAGTCACATCATTTTTCTGGGCATGGTGGCCTGCACCTTTAGTCCCAGATACTTGGGAGTCTGAGGTGGGAGAATTGCTTCGGCCTGGGAGTTTGAGACTAGCATGGGTCACATTGTGAGACCTCGTCTCTAAAAAGAAATCATAAAAAGAAAGACTACGTCGGATGCAGTGGCTCATGTCTCTAATCCCAGCACATAGGGAGGCCAAGTCGTGCAGATTACCTGAGGTCAGGAGTTTGAGAAAAGCCTGACCAATGTAGTGAAACCTCCGAAAGCTGAGGCAGAACTACATAATTGCTTGAACCCGGGAGGGGGAGATTGCAGGGAGCCACTGCACTCCAGCTTGGGCGACAGAGCAACATTTCGTCTCAAAAAAAAAAAAAAAAAAAAAATGTACATCTTCCTTCCCCTATCTTTGATGTAAATTGGAAACTTTAGCATTTGGACCCAGTCATCTGTATTTTCAGAATCCCTGAAGATGAATTTAATATACTATCATGTTTGACATCCTATGGCAAAGATCTTTATGTTGTACTTACTTACTTTCTTGCTTTTTTTTTTTTTTTAAAGATGGGGTATCACCATGTTGGTCAGGCTGGTCTTGAACTTCTGACCTCAGGTGATCCGCCTGCCTTGGCCTCCAAAGTGCTTGGATTACAGGCGTGAGCCACCACACCCAGCTACTTTATTTCTTTTTCTTTTTTGAGATAGAGTCTAGCTTTGTTGCCCAGGCTGGAATGCAATGGTGCAGTCTCGGCTCACTGCAACCTCACACCTCAGCCTCCGTAGTAGCTAGGATTATAGGCACCTGCCACCACACCCAGCTAATTTTTTAAAAAATTATTTTTAGTAGAGAACGGTATTGGCCATGTTGGCCAGCCTGGTATCAAACTCCTGATACCAGGTAATCCACTGGCCTTGACCTCCCAAAGTGCTGGGATTACAAGTGTGAGCCACGGCACCTGGACTTATCTGTGGGGCCAGACTTTCATTTCAGTAAGAAATAAAGTAATTAGGACGGGCGCTATGGCTCACACCTGTAATCCCAGCACTCTGGAAGGGCAAGGTGGGCAGATCATGAGGTCAGGAGACTGACCATCCTGGCTAACATGGTGAAACCCCGTCTCTACTAAAAATAGAAAAATTAGCCGGGTGCAGTGGCTCACGCCTGTAATCCCAGCACTTTGGGAGGCTGAGGTGGGTGGATCTCCTGAGGTCAGGAGTTCGAGACCAGCCTGACCAATATGGTGAAACCCCATCTTAAAAAAAAAAAATTAAAAATAGAAAAATTAACCAGTGCAGTGACTCGTACCTGTAATCGCAGCTACTGAGGAGGCTGAGGCAGGAGAATGGCTTGAACCTGGGAGGTGGAAGTTGCAATGAGCTTAGGTTGCACCACTGCACTCCACGCTGGGCGACAGAGCGAGACTTTGTCTCAAAAAAAAAAAAAAGGCCAGGTGCGGTGGCTAACGCCTGTAATCTCAGCTCTTTAGGAGGCCAAGGCGGGCGGATCATGAAGTGAAGAAATCGAGACCATGCTGGCCAACATGGTGAAACCCTGTCTCTACTAAAAATACAAAAAAAAAAAATTAGCCAGGCGTAGTGGCACATGCCTGTGGTCCCAGTTACCTGGGTGGCCGAGGTGGAAGAATCGCTTGAACCCAGGAGGCAGAAGTTGCAGTGAGCTGATACTGAGCCACTGCACTTCAGCCTGGTGACAGAGCAAGACTCCATCTAAAAAAAAAGAAAAAAAAATTTTTAAGATGCACTTTGCCTCAGAAGATTTAAGCTATTTTTCTCAGAATTCAGATATCTCTGACTTTTATTTTCCATCTAGTCAAACTTTTCTATGATCTAACAAAAGTACCATTCTGTTGTTTGGTTAAGTTTATCATTTTGAATATGCTCTTTATCCAGATCTTTCCTACTTTCACTTCCTGATAATCTTCTCTTCCTATTCATCATCAGTTTCAGTTTTCACAGAAGCAGTTTATAATAAGCAATCTAAACATATCAGCTGTGTAATAAACCCCACATCCTCATAGCCAACTTTTTGCCATATCAAAATCTTCAAGGTTCTCTGGCTTTTATTTTGTTACTGTGTTTAATTTGAAAACAAGTACAAATGACTCATCTTTTTAAACCATTCAATATAACATTTCCTCTCTAAATCCTTAAATTTCTTTTTCTGCTTAACTTCAGAATGGGAAATACAACCTAGATCCCAAGGGCCATCACATCAGCAAGGTTTTTTGAAGAACGAAATATTCAATGGGCTACAAATGGTAAGATTGATGAGGGATATTTCTTAGTTTCTCCACTCAGAAAAGATTGAGAATTTCATTCTAGAAAATCAGCCCAGTCAGAGCTGTGGCTTACATCTGTAATTACAGCTACTTGGGAGGCTGAGATGGGAGGATCATTTTGAGTCCAGGAGTTTGAGACAAACCTAGCAATATAGCAACATCCCATCTCTGATTTAGAAAAGACACTGAATATGGTGGCTGATGCCTGTAATCCCAACATTTTGGGAAGCAAAGGTGGATGGATCATTTGAGGTCAGGAGTTGGGAGACCAGCCTAGCCAACACGGTGAAACTCCATCTCTACTAAAAATACAAAATTAGCTAGGTGTGGTGGGCATCTGTCATCCAAGTTACTCAGGAGGCTGAGGCAGGAGAATTGCTTGAACTCAGAGGTGGAACCCAAGATTGCATCACTGCATTCCAGCCTGGGGGACCCAGTGAGACCCTGTCTCAAAAACAAAAAAAGGAAATATAGTAAAGAAACTGAGTCTGTAATCCCAGCACTTTGGGAAGCCAAGGTGGGTGGATCACTTGAGGTTAGTACTTTGAGACCAGCCTGGCCAACATGGTGAAACTCTGTCTCTACTAAAAATACAAAAATAGCCAGGCATTGTGGCAGACACCTGTAGTCCCAGTTACTTGGGAAGCTGAGGCAGAAGAATTACTTAAACCTGGGAAGTAGAGTTTGCAATGAAAAAGAACACAAATGAGAGATACTTGAGAGAATTAGAGAAGTAGCCTGCACTGTTGAGGGAGCAGGGTCTCCAGAGAGATAGTCTGAATATGATGAATTTTATGATGTTCCACACCTGTAGAATTTGTCACTTGAAAATACTCGCAAGTATACATTCTCACATATGTAAGTAGACATGGAGGATTTAAACAGTTTCATGAAAATCTACAGAATTTGGCTGGGTGTCATGGCTGACACCTGTAATCCCAGCACTTTAGGAAGCTGGCACAGGAGAATTGGTTGAGTCTAGGAGTTTAAGACCAGCCTGGGAAACAGGGAGACCCTTTCTCAACAAAAAATAAAAAATGAGCCAGGCGTGGTGGCTCACGCCTGTAATCCGAGCACTTTGGAGGCCAAGGCGGGCGGATCACTTGAGGTCAGGAGTTCAAGCCAGCCTGACCAACATGGTGAAACCCCATCTAAAAAAAAAAAAAAAAAAAAAAAAATGAGCCAGGCATGTTGGCATACACCTTTAGTCTAAGCTCTTTAGGGGACTGAGGCAGGAGGATGGCTTGAGCCTTGGAGATTAAGGCTGCAGTGAGCTGTGATTGTGCCATGGTACCCAGCGTGGGTGACAGATTCAGAACTTGTCTCAAACTACCCCTCACAATAATAAAAAAAGAACTACAGTGTTGTTTTTATTTTTATTTTTTTATTTTTTTTTAAACACTTAGAGCCAGTGGCATAGAATTCTAGCAAAAGATCCCATCATTCAAACTGGAAGAAGTGAAGGAGTCAGGAAATGAAACCAAAGAAGAAAAATTGTAAGAATTATGAAAGTAGGCTGCCATGGTAGCTCATGGCTATAATCCCAGCACTTTGGGAGGCTGAGACAGGGCAGTTGCTTGAAGAGTTTGAGACTAGCGTAGGCTGCCTAGCATGATCCTGTCTATAAACATAAATTGAGGCCAGGTGCAGTGGCTCATGCCTGTAATCCTAGCACTTTGGGAGGTGGAGGTGGGTGGATCATGAGGTAAGGAGTTCAAGACTAGCTTGGCTGGTGAAACCCTGTCTCTACTAAAAATAAAAAAATGATACAGGTGTGGTGGCATGTGCCTGTAATTCCAGCTACTCGGGAGGCTGAGGCACGAGAATCGCTTGAACCCAGGAGGCAGAGGTTGCAGTGAGCTGAGATCAGGCCACTGTATGCCAGCCTGGAGGCAGAGTAAGACTATGTCTCAAATAAATAAATAAATTGAAAGGTTGGCCAGGCTTGATGGTGCATGCCTATAGTCCTGACTACACAGGAATGTAAGGTAAGATGATCACTTGAACCCAGGAGTTTGATGTTAGAGTAAGCTATGATCACACCAGTGCACTATAGCCCAGGCAATGGAATGAAACCACAGCTCTTTAAAATACCCTGGGATGGTGGGTGATACCTGTAGTTTCACCATTTTGGGAGGCCAAGCCAGGAAGATCACCTGAATTCAGTTTGAGACCAGCCTGGGCAACTTGGCAAAGCACGGGCTCTTACAAAAAATAGAATTTTTTTTTGAGGCAGAGTCTTGCTGTGTCATCCACACTAAAGTGCAGTGGGTTGATCTTGGCTCACTGCAACCTCCGCCTCCCAGGCTTAAGCAGTTATCCTGCCTCAGCCTCCTGAGTAGCTGGGATTACAGGCACAAGCCACCATACCCAGCTAATTTTTGTATTTTTAGTAGAGATGGGGTTTCAACATGTTGGTTAGGCTGGTCTTGATCTCCTTACCTCATGAGCCACCATCCCTGGCCAGAAAAGTAGAAAAATTTGCCATGTACAGTGGCACACCACTGCATTCCTAGCTGCTTGGGAGGCTGAGGCAGGAGAATTGCTTGAGCATGGGAGGTGGAGATTGCAGTTAGCCAAGATTGTACCACTGCACTCCAGACACTGTCTCAAAAAAAAAAAAAAAAAAAAAACCTAAACATTAAAAAGGTAAAATAATGAAATAATTGTCATCAAAATAATGCTTCTGTGTTCAGATGGGTGAAATCTCATAATAAGTCTGAAAACGTTTTAAATCCCTTATTCCCTCATCAACAGGAAAGAAGCTACAGGTTAGGGAAACTCTGTGACTGTAAGAATTGTGGAGAGGTCTTCAGTGAATGGTTTTTCTTTGAGACACTCATGAGAGCTCAGAATGGAGGGAACACTTCTGAGTATAATTGTTATGGAAATGATGTCCTCTCTGTGCACAAGAAACCCTCTGTTGGACAGGAACTTTCCAAACTTAATCCATGTGAAAAAGTCTTCACCCTAACTCCAGGCCTTGCTGTACATCTTCAAATTCTCAATGCAAGAAAACCCTACAAATGTAAGGCATGTGGAAAAGGCTTTAAGTATTTTGCGAGTCTTGATAATCACATGGGAATCCACACTGGAGAGAAGCTCTGTGAGTTTAAGGAATGTAGGGGAGCCATCACAGCTTCCTCACAACTAAAGCAGTGTATAACAGTTCATACTGGAAAGAAATCCAAAAAGACTAAGAAATGTGGGAAATCCTTCACTAATTTTTCTCAAGTTTCTGCACATGGGAAAAATTATAAAGGAGAGAAGTCCTTTGAATGTAAAGAATGTGGAAGATCCTTTAGAAATTCCTCCTGCCTTTATGAGCACATACAAATTCACACTGGAATAAAACCACACAAATGTACAGAATGTGGGAAAGCATTCACTAGATCAACTCAACTTACTGAACATATAAGAACTCACACTGGAATAAAACCCTATAAATGTAAGGAATGTGGGCAAGCGTTCACTCAGTACTCAGGCCTTGCTATACACAAAGGACATCACAGTGCAGAGAAACCCTACCAGTGTAAGGAATGTGGGAAAGGCTTCACTACATCTACAAGCCTTACTCAACATACAAGAATTCACACAGGAGAGAAGCCTTATATATGTGGTGAATGTGGAAGAACCTTCATTACTTCTTCCCATCGTGCTAAACATTTGAGAACTCATACTGGAGAAAGGCGCTATGTATGCAAGATATGTGGTAAAGCATTTATGTATTCCTCGGGCTTTAATGTTCACCTACGAACTCATACCGGAGAGAAACCCTTTGTATGTAAAGAATGTGGGAAAGCATTTGCTTCTTCCTCGCTCCTAAGTAGACATGGAACAATTCATAGCCGGGCACAGTTGCTTACGCCTGTAATCCCAACACTTTGGGAGGCCGAGGCAGGTGGATCATGAGGTCAGGAGATCTAGCCTAACAGGATCAGAAAGCCATAAGATCCTGGCTAACATGGTGAAACCCTATCTCCACTAAAAATAAAAAAAATTTGCTGGGCGTGATGGCACGTGCCTGTAGTCCCAGCTACTTAGGAGGCTGACACAGGAGAATTGCTTGAACCCATCAGGCAGAGGTTGCAACAAGCTAGGATGGCACCATTGCACTCCAGCCTGGGCAACACAGTGAGACTCTGTCCCCCTCCCCCACAAAAATTTCACACTGGGGAGAAATCCTATGAATGTGAGGGTATGAGTGTTAACATTTAGCCCATCGGTTGCCATCTTTAATTATTGGCAGTGATACCAAAGATCATCAGATTTGTCCTAAATGCCTTACGGGGGTTGTAATGGCTTACGGATTGGCCTTAGGTGCCCTCCCAAGTGTTTGAAATTAAACCTACTGGTTCTGAATACAGTTTCTCCATGGTTGCCTGCGTCTGGGCATGTCTGAGTCTGGGGTGCTGAGGTCAGTACTGCATGCTGCCTCACCTTGGTTATTACGTTCATAGGATCATAGCATCAACAAGTCCTGTATGAGATAAATCATGCAAATTGGTCCCAGACCCTGTTGGTTAGTAGCTGCCAGTGTGGCACATTCACGTCAAAATTTACCAGAAGCCAAGATGATGTAGGCCTCAGAGGCGGGTTTTTGAGAAATGCTCCTCGAAGGATCTCTTCTGTTCCCATGGATCCTGGAGAGCATGACAAGAAATAAACCATCCTTAACTGTCAGTGCACTTTCACAGCTGATTATTTCTATGTCCCCTTCTTGTGAAATCTAAGAAATGTGACAGCCTTGCCTGTTCTGTGCTGCCTTCTCTGTCCATTTTAGGTGGCACCATCTAAGTGGCAGTATCTCTTCTAATATTATAATCCAGTCTTTCTCCTCACTTTTGATAAGATACCTGATACGGTCCCACTCATGATCTCTTTATCAAATGATTCTTTAGCCACACTTTTTTTTTTTTTTTTTTTTTTGAGATGGAGTTTCGCTCTTGTTACCCAGGCTGGAGTGCAATGGCGCGATCTCGGCTCACCGCAACCTCCGCCTCCTGGGTTCAGGCAATTCTCCTGCCTCAGCCTCCTGAGTAGCTGGGATTACAGGCACACGCCACCACGCCCAGCTAATTTTTTGTATTTTTAGTAGAGATGGGGTTTCACCATGTTGACCAGGATGGTCTCGATCTCTCGCCCTCGTGATCCACCCACCTCGGCCTCCCAAAGTACTGGGATTACAGGCTTGAGCCACCGCGCCTGGCCTCTTTAGCCACACTTTAAGGATTCTCTTTAGTACACGTTTTCTAACTTTTGGAGTATGGATAGGCTGAGAACATTGAAAATCTCCAAGTTCTGGTTCCTTTTTTTTTTCCTTAACAATTTCTTCTACAATTCAGGGGTTTTTTTCTTTCTTTTTTTTTCTTCAGAGACAGTTTTGCTTTTGTGGCCCAGGCTAGAGGGCAATGGCATGATCTCGGCTCACTGCAACCTCTGCCCCTCAGGTTCCAGCGATTCTCCCGCCTCTGCCTGCCCAGTAGCTGGGATTACAGCATGCACCACCACCTTCAGCTAATTATGTATTTTTGGTAGAGACAGGGTTTCCCCATGTTGGTCAGGCTGTTCTTGAACTCCCAACTTCAAATGTTCAACCTGCCTTGGCCTTCCAAAGTGCTGTGATTACAGGCATGAGCCACTGTACATGGCCAAAAAAACAGTGGGAGACTCCGTTTCAAAAATAAACAAAACAGTAGAAGATGGACTGAAGGAAAAGATCACGTTTTTGTGTTTTGTTTTATTGAGGCAGAGTCTCCCTTTGTGGCCCAGGATGGAGTGCAGTGGCATGATCTTGGCTCACTGGAACTTAACGCCTCCTGGGTTCAAGCAATTCTCTTGCCTCAGCCCCCTGAGTTACTGGGACTCCAGGCACCCACCATCACGCTCAGCTAATCTTTGGGAGGTCAAGGTGGGAGGATGAGCATCATAGTGAGACCCCATCTCTACAAAAAAATAAACTTGTGTAAGCAAGGTGTGCCTGTAGTCACAATTACTTGCAAGGATGGTGTGGGAGGATTGCTTGAGTCTAGGAGGTTGAGGCTGTAGTGGCCTCTGATTGGGCTGGTCTCTAGAAAAACATAAGTGATAAATGGCCCTTCATGACAGACCAATCACAGTGTTAATGTTGTGGTCGCATCCATCAAGGTCTCCATACTCAATACCCAATATTATTTAGATTACTGATTATATTCACTCAACAACAGATAAGTAATTTGCCCTTGTAGATTGGTGTGACGGATAATACTGAGTGTCAACAGGATTGAAGGATACAAAGTAGGGATCCTGGGTGTGTCTGTGAAGATGTTGCCATAGGAAATTAACATTTGAGTCAGTGGGCTGGGAAAGGCAGACCCACCTTTAATCTGGGTGGGCACAATCTAATCAGCTGCCAGGGAGGCTAGAATATATATAAGCAGGCAGAAAAATGTGAGAGACTGACTTAGCCTCCCAGCCTACATCTTTATTCTGTGCTGGATGCTTCCTGCCCTTGAACATCTGACTCCAGATTCTTCAGTTTTGCATCTCGGACTGGCTCTCCTTGCTCCTCAGCCTGCAGACAGTATTGTGGGACCTTGTGATCATGTGAGTTAATTTTACACACACACACACACACACACACACGTACACATTCCATTAGTTCGTTCTGTCTAGAGAACCCTGACTAATACATTGGCTAATATATTCTGTTCAGTGCCATCTCAGTAGCTTCTCAGCCACAATTTGGTTCCAGAAGGGATACGACATATTTTTTCCCACTTTATACCCATGAGGTACCTTAAACAGGTGAGTCAGAGAAGATCTTGATAACATCCACACCTTTCTCCAGAAATGACATTACATTAATAATGTCCTTCTCCAAGGAGATTCACCAATACACTTACTAAAAACACTTCAGTCCAATAGCTCCAAGTACCTTTCGAATTCTGGTAGCAACATACTCCTTACTTGCAAATTTTACTTACTGGCCAGGTTCAGTGGCTTAGGCTGTTAATCCCAACTCTTGGAGGTTGAGGTGGGTAGATCTCGAAATCAGGCATTTGAGACCAGCCTGGCCAACAAAGTGAAACTCCATCTCTATTAAAAATACAGTGGGTAGCCGGGCGCGGTGGCTCAAGCCTGTAATCCCAGCACTTTGGGAGGCCGAGGCGGGTGGATCACAAGGTCGAGAGATCGAGACCATCCTGGTCAACATGGTGAAACCCGGTCTCTACTAAAAATACAAAAAATTAGCTGGGCATGGTGGCACATGCCTGTAATCCCAGCTACTCAGGAGGCTGAGGCAGGAGAATTGCTTGAACCCAGGAGGCGGAGGTTGCGGTGAGCCGAGATCGCGCCATTGCACTCCAGCCTGGGTAACAAGAGTGAAACTCCGTCTCAAAAAAAAAAAAAAAAAAAAAAAAAAATACGGTGGGTGGGTGCCTGTAATCCTAGCTACTGGGGAGGCTAAGGAGAATCACTTTAATCTGGGTGGCGGAAGCTGCAGTAAGCCAAGATAACTCCAGCCTGGGCAGTAAGAGTGAAAATCCTATTATCAAATAAATAAATAGAAATATAAAAATTAGCTAGGCATGGTGGTACATGCCTGTAATCCGAGCTACTCAGGAGGCTGAGGCAGGAGAATGTCTTGAACCCAAGAGGCAGAGGTTGCAGTGAGCCGAGATTGTGCCATTGTACTCGAGCCTGGGTGATCAGGCAAGACTCAAAATACTATAAATCAACAGACATTCTTGTTCGTGACCATAAAAGAACTTCATGGTTGGCTAGGTGTGGTGACTCATGCTTGTAATCCCAGCAGTTTAGGAGATGGAGGCCCAAGAATCTGTTGAGCCAAGGAGTTCAGGACCAGCCTGGGCAACATAGTGAAACCTCATCTCTGTTAAATATATGTATATAAAGGACAACCCAAGAAACAATATGCTTGGCCATACATTCGGCAACTGTTTTGACACTGGCTGCCGTGGTCAAACTTATGGTCCCGTCCTCAAGTTTATTATGCAGAACTGAGGCATTACCTATAAAAATTGTCCCCATAATGTAAAAAAAAAAAAAAAAAAAAAAAAACAAAACAAAACCTGCGAATCTGTTTTCTAACATACACCCAAAATATAGATCAAAATAACATTGCTACATATACTGAGGCCAAATACTAGCCTTTGCCAGGCCACTCCTCGTTCCCTTTGGAGCAACAGGTATTGCTGGTAGTAACCAAGACACATATTTCCCTTATTAAAATATACAGTGCTCTTGAAAAAGTCATTCACCAGCTGGACGCAGTGCCTCATGACTGTAATCCCAGCACTTTGGGAGGCCGAGGAGGGCAGTCACAAGGTCAAGAGAACAAGACCATCCTGGTCAACATGGTGAAAATCTCTCTATTTAAACAATACAGAAATTGGCCGGGCGCGGTAGCTTATCCCTATAATCCCAGCACTTTGGGAGGCTGAGGTGGGTAGATCATGAGGTCAAGAGATTGAAACCATCCTGGTCAACATGGTGAAACCCCGTCTCTACTAAAAATACAAAAATTAGCTGGGCGTGGTGGCGCACACCTGTAGTCCCAGCTACTTGGGAGGCTGAGGCAGGAGAATTGCTTGAACCCAGGAGGCGGAGGTTGCGGTGAGCCGAGATCATGCCATTGCACTCTAGCCTGGGTAACAAGAGCGAAACTCCATCTCCAAAACAAAACAAAAAACAGAAATTAGCTGGGTGCAGTGGTGTGCGCCTGTAGTCCCAACTACCTGGAAGGCAGAGGCAGGAGAATTGCTTGAACCTGGGAAGAGGAGGATGCACCGATTCGATATCGTGGCCACTGCACTCCATCCTGGCAACAGAGCAAGACTCTCAAAAAAAAAGTCATTAAATCGAAATTTTATGTTCCTGACAGGTTCAAAATAGACAATTTAGCTGAGAGACATAATGAAGTCTTCAAACAATTCCTTTTCAAATTTCAGTCAGGCAATTAAAACCCACATAAGTTTATATTTTGCCCCAGGTTTTTTTTTTTTTTTTTTTTTTTTTTTGAGACGGAGTTTCGCTCTCGTTACCCAGGCTGGAGTGCAATGGCACGATCTCGGCTCACCGCAACCTCCGCCTCCTGGGTTCAGGCAATTCTCCTGCCTCAGCCTCCTGAGTAGCTGGGATTACAGGCACGCGCCACCATGCCCAGCTAATTTTTTGTATTTTTAGTAGAGACGGGGTTTCACCATGTTGACCAGGATGGTCTCAATCTCTCGACCTCGTGATCCACCCGCCTCGGCCTCCCAAAGTGCTGGGATTACAGGCTTGAGCCACCGCGCCCGGCTGCCCCAGGTTTTAACCAATCTTAATAAATTTTTAACTTTGCCCCAATATCTCAGAGGTAAGAGACCAGAGTGAGGGTATGTGTCGGGGACCGTCCAGGACGGGCAGGCACATCTGCCGGGGGTCTCTCGACCTGCAAGAGGGTCCCAATACCTGGAAGAGAGAGTGCGCTTGGAAAAATAATAGAAAGCGAGGCGTCTGGAGGGCTGAATAGGCTGTGCCTAAACAGCAAATTTTATTTTTCAAAGGCCAGGAATAAATAACACTTTCTTGGCTCTGGTTTACGTCATTGCAAGAGGAAATGCAAATGTATACCTTACATGGCCTATACAATAGAGAAATCGGATACACAATGGTTGCAAGAGGAAATGCAAATCTATACCTTACATGGCCTATACGATAGAGAAATCAGATATGCAATCAATCAGTGGTTGTAACAATTTCCTGTGATCACAAAGCTTGTTTTAGAACTGAGATGTGAAAAGGTTTTCTGTTTTTCCTCATCAAAATATCTTTTAACTGGATTCTCCTTTGTCTGCTCCTGACTCAACTCAACTTCCCCATTCAGGAGTCTCTGAGTCAGGAATCAAAGCCATCCCTTATGGTGGCATT